CACACACACACAAACACACGCGCGGGGACAACACCCGCTTACACACGCTCAACAAAAAACAAGACGGACAGAAGAAATCAACAGAAAAAGATGAAACCTCTCAGACTGTCCAGTCTCCCGTTCTGATTCGACCAAGGCCACGGACAAACGCCTCGTCTTCCGCACTGGACAACAACGACGCCCCGCTCTAACTTACACCACCATCACCGTCACAACCACCTTCCCTCCACCATTCTACCGCGAACTCGTTCACCGGCCGGCGCTCAATCTCCGTCTCCGCGAGAGCGTTCCCGTTGTCTCGCGACCACCGGGAGCAGGGCAAGCTTCCCGCTTGCTTCCCTTCCCTTCCCTTCCCTTCCCTAACCTCCTACAGCTCTCTCCCTCTCCCTTAACACCACCGTCACTACTCGCCTCTATCTATCTACCCTTCCGCGTTCTTCGCAAATGACACACAGTCGTTCAAATTTCGAATTTCTGTTTCTCCCGCTCAATTTCATTCCTCGATGTTATCCCGCCCGTGGTGGTGCCGCCCAAGCCCGCGGCAGATAGACTGACGACGGCCCGCGCCCGCCCAGTCTCTGCCAAAAACTAACCTCCAACCTCCCGCTTTGGCCGTACGCACCAGAGACTGCAGTGCGGGAGCACGACCGTCGTTCCAGTTGCAGAATCAGCCCAATCAGCCCAATCAGCCCGCTCCGCCCGCTCAGCCTGCCCGCCAGAATGGTCCACGACAACCACCCTGCGGCGCCTAACCTATGGACCACGGGGGCTACCGGCATCCTCCCTGGTTCAGCAACAAGACCTGCTGCTGGTATTCCAGGCGCCGAACTCCGAACGTGCGCCGACAAGACTCCTCGTATTCCAGGTTGGTTTCCTCGGCGCACTACTCACCGGCGGGAACACAAACGTGCGAAATGGAGAATGCATCTTCATGCAAAACGTGGCAAGATGCACGCTCTATGCTTTTTGTCCTTTTCACGTGCGCTGACTCCTGCGTTTCTTTTAACCTTTGTCTTTTTCCACCCCTTTTATTTACCCCCTTCTTTCCTTTTGTTCCGCCAAGCCCCTCAACCCCGCCCGCCCGCCCGCCCGCCCGCCCCTCCCTACCGCGGTGGGAAAAGCAGTCCTGTCCCTTCGTTTCCCCGCAGGCGCGGAAAAATTCGACTTTTTTCCCGTTCTCCTTTTCCAGCGTGGCGGGCTGGCTTCCGCTATCATGGCGCAACCAACGGGAACCGCTCTTTTCCAACCCACTAAATTAAAAAATAGAGTCAGACCCCGCCGTTGGCGATGCTCGTCCTCTGGGAGCACGAACCTGGCGCACATGATCGTTACATTCGTGATTACGAAGCATGAAATGTTTGTTTTTTTTTTGGGAAAGCATGAAAAATCGCCCCGCAGTCGGACCTCCCGGTCCTTTTTCACACTCCGGCCAGCCACAGCCATAAAAAAAAATGCCTCCTTCGCACAAGGGCTGAACCGCACAGGATGGTTTCACACTGTCACGTTCCCAGATCAATGGTCAGGACTCAGCACCATGATTCCCCTCTCTGAGGCCAAGATTCACGGACGCATTCATGCATTTTGTACCGCTGGGACTGAGCGACGAAGGCTGTGTTCACACAGTCCAGTTCTGGAACCTGCATCAACGACCAGGATTCACGGATACATACACGCCTTTGTGCAACAACTCGGCCTGAGCCGGAACGAGCGCGTCCAGACCGTCCCTTTCGCACATCTACGGCCGCAATTCCCCGAGGCCCGTAAGGCTGTTCGGCAGTGCCATTCGGTTGCCAGCCGTTGCGCTCTACAGCGCGCCCCTGAACGTTGCTACCAGGCTGGCCACGGCTGGTTCGAAACACCGCCGGTAGTATAGTTGTGTCCCCGTCTAACCGCCTCGACAGCGCTAGCAGAGCACCTGGCCTCTTTCTCGTAAGTAAGGGAGAAGATATCGTCCGTCGATCTGCAACCCAAGCCGCAGTTTCAGAAGAAAAAAAAAAACACCACAGCGTCGTCCGTCGATCTCCATGATCTAAGGCCTTTATCTCCAATCCGTGCGGTGGGCAGCCCCCTCCCCAGCCACACTGCCAGATTGTTTTCTTCTTTTTTCTTTCCCCCTTTTTTTGTGTTGTTTTTGTTTTGCTTTTATTGTGAGATGTGAGATTCACGACCCAATGCCGACCTGCCTTTTCCCGTTGCCCCTGGCCTCACTCGCTAACCGTACATTCACGAGAATCTACGGGTAGAAAATTAGCATCAGCATAAGTGGAACTTGGCCTCCGATCTTTCCTCTCCACCCGCCCGTGGGGAGGGGGGGTCCAGGCTCGTTTGCACGTATTCAGCTATACTTGCCGTTGATCTTAGTTATCTACGGTCCCCTGGCTCAAGAGGGAACAACCCGCTCAAGTTTCAAAAATGCGGAGAGCGGCATGGCAAAATTTACCGCCAAATAGTTTGGAGTCTTCACTTTACAGAGAGTGCAGCTACCCACCATAGTTTGGAGTCTTCAACAATAGGGCCAACTTGAGAGAGATGCTCTTATCACCCTATCAAGTGGTCCCCCCCAGTCATGAAAAAAAAAAAATTAAAAAAAAAAATCCGGAAAAAAGAATGTTCCCTGTGAATGAAGAAAGGCTGGGGGATGGAGGGCTTAGGAGGACGTCCCTGGCCTTTCTTCTTTCGCTGGGGACATTCTTTTATATTTTGTCATGCCACTCTTGGCATTTTCAAAACATGAACGGGCTAAATGCACTAAAGACATGAATCAATCCCAGGTTATATATTCGCAGCCAGGAGACTCGCCTACTTCGGTTGTCTTTTGTCGCGTAGAAGGACTTCCTGTTTTCAGCATGCCAACGACGGCTAGGGGCTTAGAGGGTGTCGAGAGGTTCCCCACCTCTTGACGCCCTCTAAACCCCTTGCGGTCGTTGTCGCAAGAAAAAACAGTCCAGTAATTGGTCATTGGAGGGTAGAGATACCAGACAACCAGTGATAGAGAAGGGATGTCGTTGGTGTGAATTTTAGTCACAGTCTGTTGCTTTAATGATTTACTGTACAGGGGTCAGTTCGTTGTAATGGTGGGGTGGGGGTAGGGGTATTTTCAGCGAGGCTGGATAAAGGCAAAGCCAGACACTCCACTACTTCCAAAACCTATCAAAGATGTCCTTCCTGACATCCATCAAAATTTGAAATTTGAAAGATATAGGGAAGATTAGCTTGGCCCCTTCGCGAGGACGCCACGCATAAATCAAGAAATGGTCCAAGGAAAGAAAAAAAAAACAAGTATACGTGGCGGCAGGATGGCCGACGTTCGGGACGGGCCGAACGCCCGAACCAGAATGCCCGATTGTACGGGACTCCTTGGGGATGCGCTCGGTCGTTCGGGCCGAACGTGAACAAAAAAAAAAAAAAAAAAAAAAAAAAAAAAAAAAAAAAAAAAACTCATAAAAATTTGAACAGAACATATGTTATGCAGAAAGATAAAATAAACAACATTTGTCTGAGCATAACATCCCATTTCCTTACCAAATTTGAAATAAAAATAAAATATGGAAAATAAATACTAATAAGAAAAATAAGAAAAATCAACAGGAGAAAATAAAGAATTAAAATTAGTGAGTGTGAAAGCCCGTTTTCGACACCACCATCTTGGGTGATTTTTCTTTTTTTTTTAGCAAAGACAAATGCCATGAAAATTTATATATGTGTACTTCAGATAATAAAGAACTCATAACAAAAGTTTCAAAAAATAATAAAATTGTTTAGGCCTCGAAATAAAATGAAAACAAAACGTAAAAAATGGAATAACCAATTGTGCATGGGCGAGCACGTTTTGACACCTCCATCTTTGGAAATTTTTCATTTTCTTTTGGCTGAGCAAAATGACTTCAATATTCATAGGTATGTACCTAACATCATAGAAAACACACGAAAAACACTTCAGAAAAAAAAATTATTTTTTTTGTGCGGAAATATTTTTTGGCGGGGACTGAACCCCTTCCGGTTGGGACCCCGAACTGGACCCTGAACGCTTGAACATACGGAGGTCCAGCCAGGGGCCTCCGTACGTACGGGCTGGTAACCTTGTGTGGCGGTTTATTTTGTTTTTAGGAAAAGTGAAATGTATATTGTTGGACATTGAGTGTGGGCAGGTAAACGGTAGGGCGGAACTTGAATGTGGAGTGGTGCGATGGGAACTGACGGGGCATATGGCCTCACTCCACTACTCACTAAATATGCAAAACGTGAATGAATTGTTTGCAAAAACATGGAAAGATACAACACCATAGTTTTGTCTACTTTGCAAAGGATCTTGCTCTAATATGCACCAACTTTGCAGAATGAGAATGAATTTTTCACTACAACACAGGAAAATACACCACCATACTTTTTGTCTTTTATGCATGTTGACATTAGTGGAGTGACCCCAAAAGTGCAAAAGTTGCAAAGGAAGGGAAGGGTTATGGCACTGAAACCATAACATTTTGAATTGGATTTTGTGGGGTATTTTTCAAGGTTCGGGAGGGGGAAGGGGGGGAGTGTGGTGTTGTCATTGACATTGCAAATCACCGTTTTTAGTATGACAATTCTCATAAGGACTTTGAAAATCTTCCTCAGGCTGAGACTATCGGAGCGATACCCCATCGGAGAGGACTACAAGGGTGTGGTGAGGCATGCAATTCAGGGTGTTTCCAAAAACCTATTGTCATGCTCAACAAAGATGTGTTGAGTGCCATTAACCATATGGCCCACTGTGCACGTCAATTTGACAATTAATTATTTGGTGTCTGCTACTAATGCAGACTATGCAGTAGTAATATGCATGTGTTTATGTTTCAACGGGGAGTAGAGGTCAATATCTATGTTGTGCTTTTAGAACGGTCAACAAACACAAAGGACGACGTGTGTGCGTGGGGGCCAGCTGATGAAATGGCGTAAAGGCTAGGCTGCTTGTTGTCCGATGGGGAAACGGCTCCCGCGGACGTCTCCGAGAGACGGTCGTGGGGAAGTTGTCTGGAAAATCGGTCAACTGTTTTTTTGCTAAACAACAAAACGAAAAACAAAAAAAAACAAAAAACGGGGGGGGCGTTGCGCACCACTAGGGGATCCTCCAAAAACAAATCCAGGTTATTTCGAGCAAAAACGAAAGGTGGATGTTGGGGGGGGTGGATCGTTTGGGGAGGTGTGATGGTGGGATGTTGGGGGGGTGGATTGTTTGGGAAGTTGAAATGGAGGGTCTGCTGCTGCAATCAGCAACTGCTGCATA